TATATATATATATATATATATATATTAACCCATGAAATACATAGGTTTCACATCTAATTATAAATCATACATCAGCAGTGATTTTCTTTCGATTTTTTAATCTCTTGAATTTTAGTACAAGTAACATTTTTTATATACATTTAATTATTTAATTGTATTGTTTAATGACTTTAATCGCTAAATCTGACAAGATATCACATAATACTTAAATAACCAAAAATTTAAAATGTCATTGGTAGGTAGCAATTTGCATGTGGAGTCCATTATTAGGTTATTTGTTGGATATATTTTCATGAAGTCATATTATTATTTTATTAGCTATTTAACTTAAAGTATTATTTATTTTTTCAAGAAAGAAACCGTCTCATAATCGTATTAATTATAGTTCTTTTTAGCAAATCAAATCTTAGAGATCTATAAGTATATACATAAATATTTTAATATAATACTAGCCGTTTAAGCTGTGAAAATTAGTTATAATTTTTTTTTTTTTTTTTATAAAACTAATTTTTTTTTTTTATAAAAAAGTTCAGAATAAGAAACATAAAAAACTAAAAACTTTAAAAAACTTAAAGTAACTTTTAGATAATAAATTTTTTGTTTAAAATAAAAGTTTTAATCTTATATAATTATACCATAAATATAACAAATACCGAAAGAGGTAATAGTACCATTACCTTATCAACTATATCAGAAACCATGTGAGCATCTTTGCCTATTTTATCAGCAATATTTTCAACTTTTTCCAAAGTTGATTTTAAAACACTGCCTTCCGGCAATTCATTTCCTATTTCATCCACGAAATGCTCCACCTTCTCCGCCATCTCTTCCACTCTATCCGCCACGCTGTCCACCGCCTCCTCCACCTTGTCCAGCTCCTCTGTACATACATACCATTTTAATTACCCCATATTTATTAATTTCTTAATCTCAAAATATTAATCTATGTATATCTTCTTCTTCTTCTTCCAAAATGATTTTACCTTTGAATTTCGCAAATGGCCCCCATTTATTGGTGAAGAAGGGTACGATTACAGCCAATAGAAATCCAGGAGTCCATGCTGGCCTGCAAAATATAAATACTTTCTACCTGTTATTTAAAACTATTTAAAAAGAAAAAAAAATGATTAAATAATTAGTATTTTAAACAACTGACCAAGAATCGGGCAAATGAATTCCGAAGGGGAGGAGATCTCCGATTTGGTCACTGGCATAGACGATAAACTCCCTGAAATTGTTATCTTTTTATATTAATCATACGAAAAAAACATGTAATAACATTATTGTATTTAAAGTTCATATAAAAAACTAAACCCATCACTTTCGAATTATAAATCTTACGCGATCATTTTTTGACCCGACTCTACTCTACCGAATTTGTTGGACCACTTGTGATGAGTATAGAATTCATTGATGATTAACATCGATGTATGTGGTTCATTTGGTTTATCTTTGACTCTTAAAAAACTTTAGTATTTCAAAAAAAAAATTAGTTAAATAAAAAAATTCATGGAAAGACCGGTGCATTTACATTTTTTTCAAAAATACCCAAAAAGTTTTATTGAAAAAGATTTCAATTCAAAGCTCTAAGAATTAGTTTGAAGTATAAGATTAGTAAGATATATAGATAGAGAAGGGGTGGCCCGGAGGACGGAGGGACTTACATCTTTGACTTGGTACGACGATGAGAAATCTGGCTGCCGGAGGTGAGATACCTGCGGTTAGCGGAAGAGAAACACCCATCAACGGCGGTGAGTTTTGGGAGTGATACGGTGGAGATGGCGGTGGTGGAGGAGGATGAGGAGAAAGGATCAAAAGTGTTTTTATGGAGAGTGGTAATTACACTACAAGTGACAATGGAAGTTGCCATATTCAGATTCAGTAACTGTAGCTAATTCGTGTATCCTCTTTTATTTCATAATTTGTTTTGGTTTTTAAACACGATCAAGATCTGAAGCTACTTATAGCCTTATAGGTATGAATTAATGAAAGATGATGAAAAATTGAAAAGTCAATGGGGACGTATAAATATATTAAAACGTGCGTTTAAAAACTACCCACTCGTGCTGCACGATGCATAGAAGATAGGGTTAGTTTAGTAATTTTATATGTTTTTTTTTCTTTTTTCTTCATTTCTTTTCTTTTGTTTCTAAGTGGATAAATTAACTATAGAAATCACAATTAGGGTTATCGTTATGGTTTGATAAAATTAGACCAATATGATTTGTGGAATTCACAAGGATATATAACTATTACAATGTTTTTGTAATTGGTTTTTGTGGTTATATTTTGGTACATGGTTCTTTTAAATAACATCGTTAATATTGAACTATAAAATATATTGAATATATGTAAAATGATATTTTACCATTATTAGTATCTTTTTGTTATTTCTTTATTTCATCCCATTAAAACCCAACCACACTCACACCCCTTTCCTTTTATCCCCTGTCATCTCCACCACCCATCATCGTCTTGCTATGTCTTTGGTGTGTTGAAAGGGAAGACATTATGGGTGAGTGGGATCAATCGCATGGAAATAAGATAGATCATAAGCACTGCTCAGGCGAAGAGTATTTGGGGGTCGAAAGATGAAGTTGACAATATGAGGGTGAACTAACATCTACGTCTCATATTTAATTTCCTTACATTTACATACTAGGTATTGTAGTTTATAAAATGGTTAAATAACATAAGAAACAAAATTATGGTATATTGGTATTTTAAAAAAGATAACAACTCAAGGTAAGATTTAATGCCTAAAGGACTAACAATGCAACAAAATAAAACCATAACAACCAAGCACATAAACGTTTTCTTTACCATGTAAATTATGGCAAACCATAGGGACCAATTGTATAATTTTTTTTCCTAATGGTTATGTTATGTTATTGATATTAGACAAATTTTCTCAAATGGTCCATGTGGTTTCCAAAAATGACACTTTCTAGTATATCTTCGGAAATCATTACATTGGTGCCTTGTGGTTTCAAAATCAAACATTATTACTTATTTTAACTGGCTTCGTTAAAAATAAAGGCTAAATGTATGTGAAATACCTATTTACCCCCTTTTTATTTCATTTGTTTTTTTAACAAGGTACTCAATCTCATCCCTCATCTCTACTACACACCCACCCTACCCCCTCTCCCTTTTCTCCTTTCTCCCACTCTCGGTGACCACCTCACTTTTCACGAAAGATCCCCTTCACACCTAAAATCACAATCTGATATAACACAGCTCTGAACCACAGTGCACTGTACTCGAAAACAAAAAAAAAGTAAACCGATTTATAGGTAACTAAGATGATTGAATTTAATTTAGTGTTTTTGCTTCTTATACTCATATGGGTTTAAATAGATCACATAATGGACTTGATTATCTTGATATTAAAATCGCAAAAAACAAGGTTTGGTTTTCTTGATATTATAATAAAAAAAACATAGAAGTGAAAAACTTAAACTTACAACTCCATTTCATCGTTGAAATTGAATGTCTAAGGATATCGAAGTCCATTTTTATCAACCCCCTTAAGAAACATTTGAACATAGATTATCTATCATGTGCAATCCCATTTAATCACCAAATCATAATCATTTATAGTTTTGTTTAATTATGGCTGCGTTTTGCGCTGCTACACCACTTTTGTAATCAGATGGTTTTGCAAATCCAAC